GGCCTGTGGGACCCCGGAAGCAGCTGATGGGTACCGGCAGTCCAAGCGACATGCGGCTTGGGTGGTCGCTGAGGCAAAAACTCGGGCATGGGAGGAGTTTGGAGAGGCCATGGAGAATGACTTCGAGGCGATTCTGGTCCACCATCTGACGTCTCGGGGGGGAAAGTGGTACGCCACCAACACTGTTTATAGTGGGAGTGGTGTGCTGCTGACCTCAACTCGGGATGTTGTGGGTCGGTGGGCGGAATACTTTGAAGACCTCCTCAATCCCACCGGCACATCTTCCACTGAGGAAGCGGAGCCTGGGGACTCTGGGTTGGGCCCTCCAGTCTCTGGTGCTGAGGTCACCGAGGTGGTTAAAAAGCTCCTCGGTGGCAGGGCCCCAGGGGTGGATGAGATTCGCCCGGAGTTCCTTAAGGCTCTGGATGTTGTAGGGTTGTGTTGGCTTACGCGACTCTGCAATATTGCGTGGACATTGGGGGAAGTTCCCCTGGATTGGCAGACCGGGTGGTGGTCCCCCTATTCAAAAAGGGGGACCGTAGAGTGTGTTCCAACTACAGGGGAATCACGCTCTTAAGCCTCCCTGGTAAGGTCTACTCGGTGGTTCTGGAGAGGAAGGTCCGTTGGATAGTCGAACCTCGGATTCAGGAGGAGCAGTGCGGTTTTCGTCCTGGCTGTGGAACACTGGACCAGCTCTACACTCTCAGCAGGGTCCTGGAGGGTGCGTGGGAGTTTGCTCAACCGGTCTACATGTGCTTTGTGGACTTGGAGAAGGCGTTCAACCGCGTCCCTCGGGGAACCCTGTGGGGGGTACTCTGGGGTACCGGGCCCTTTGATACGGGCTGTTAGGTCCCTGTATGACCGGTGTCAGAGCCTGGTCCCATCGCCGGCAGTAAGTCGGGCTTGTTCCCAGTGAGAGTTGGACTCCGCCAAGGTTGCCATTTGTCACCGATTCTGTTCATAACTTTTATGGACAGAATTTCTAGGCGCAGTCAAGGTGTTGAGGGGATCTGTTTTGGTGGCCTTAGGATTGCGTCTCTGCTTTTTGCAGATGATATGGTCCTATTGGTTTCATCAGATCATGATCTACAGCTTTCACTGGAGCGGTTCGCAGCCGAATGCGACGCGGCCGGAATGAAGATCAGTTCCTCCAAATCCGAGGCCATGG